TTTGAAATTTTAACGATTGTTTGTGTTGTGCCTCTTCCTATCTCTTTCGTAATTCAATGATAACTTTGTAATAAATGATACAAATAAAATTCTTTTAAGATTCCCTTTTTAGTTTTTACTATGAAAAATAGAATGGCGCAGAGTTGTAATAAAAATGTAAAACAATGGTTCATCATTATCCTTTATTTTTTAGAAAAGTGAGATGGCACGTGACAAAAGGAGAACTAAAAGAGTAATAAAAAAGTGATGAAATGAGGGATCATAACATTTCTCTCTCTCTCTCTCTCTCTCTCTCTCTATATTTATATATATAGTTTAAAAATACATTGAAAGAATTTGGGTTGGATTGGACAATAGTTAAAATTTAAAAAAAAAAACTAGTTCGTTGCATCATTCAAAAAAACAAAAAAAAAAATGAAAAGAATAAATATTGCGACAATAATTCAACTAATGTTTTTCTACAAGCTAATTTAGCTATAGCAGTGCATAGGTTGCATCTCCGGGAATAAAATAACAACAATGACCAACAACGGAAGGTAAAATCGCGATAATGTCATACACAATACGACCCTCTACAACAAACTCATTAGGACAGTTTGTTATTACACTACCCTAAAGAACATTTGCGGCACCAAGGGTGCGCGCCATCTAACATTGCGCGCGGTGGTGCCGACCGATATCTTCTCAACACAAGCGAATAGTGAAAGTTCTTGTACTCACCACAAAGCTGAAGATTCTCGGGGTTGCGCCATCTGACCATGAACGACCCCATTCTGATCAAACCAAATACACTAAAGTAGAATCGCTAACAATTCAAACCGGTCAATCTTCGGAGAAATTTTGCTTCATAAAGCATTTAAGTCCTTAAAGCAAAAACCATTAAATTGTGATAGATTAGACCAAAAAAGAAGAACACACTTATACATCCTCTGGAGTTCTACAAGCATCATATACACACACCAGATTAGAAGATCTTCCTTAGAAAAAGATCTTCATTTTGCTCGAATTCGTAGCTGTTACATGAAATTCCACCAATTCTAATTTATTAACAGTTGAAGTAGATTGCTCCTCTCCGATTATTGATTCAAAGGCCAAAAATGAGGTTATTAATTACGTGTATTCTCCACTGAAAATCAGGATAAAATTATATAAATTAACTCTATGCTTTTCACACTAGTATTCCATCCATTACCCAAATCCAGCAACAAATTAGGCACAAAAACCTCCATCTCAAGTTGAGGCCTCACTAGTTTGAAGGAAGTGTCCCCTATAGGCCGCCAAGCATCACTGCTTATTCAATTACCCAATCTCCATCTCAATCCTCTCTCAAGGAATTCCTTTCCTCATATCAATCTCTACTATAGAGTCGAACACCCATTAAATTAATTGGACGAGTTTTTGAAAAGCAAAAAAATTAAGAATTTGATTATAAATCACATAATTCTTTGATAGTGCGGCTTCGTTTGTTTCTCCATTCAAATCACAACTCAAACTCTTTACTACAGTGTTGCTTTTTACAAAAATTCAAATTCAACGTTTACTTGTACAGCTTTTTTTCTCAGATTAATTTATTTTTTAACTCAAGTTCTCAATTTGAACAAACAAAGTGAACGAGCTAGCAAGGCGTGACGCATTTTTTCTTTAAATTTAACTATAATATCATTTTCCATCACATTGTCACACTTAATTTTTTCTTTAAATTTGATGTGATACCATTAGTTAAAAAACAATGTTCTACTAATATTATTATGTTTTAATATTTGACCCATGTCTCCTTATAATTACACAGAAATATTTACTAAATTTTATAGGGAATGTAGTAGAATTACTTGTTTTTCATTATTTAGTCACATGACAATAAATTTAATGTTTTGGGAGAGGAAAATGAAGTTTAAACATTCTATTATTCAATATTCATTTACATAACCTAATCTTCCTCACTAGTATCATCCTTCATTTTGGTCTTCAAATTAAGTCGACAAATTTTGAAGTGTATATTGTGTATCCTAAGCCTGAAGTTTATGCCTAATTATAAATGGTAGTAATGTTCATCTTCATTGCTGTACATAGAAAGATTGATGGAAGTTAAGAATTAGTTTAATCCAATTTTTATAATTTAAGGGTCTAAATACAAAAAAGCCAAATCCTTGCACATTTCAGCTTGGGTACATAAACTCTCACATCCCACTCATCACGTAAACTCTCACATCCCACTCATCACGATTAGGATATTGTACGAATAATACTATTTTATGATAGGGTAATTGGCGCCAATAGTTTTCAAATTTGTCAAAAAATGACAGTTTGATCCTAAATTTTTTTTAATGAAACGAACTCCAAATTATTTAAAAAGATGTACGGGTCTGTTTACTTCGCTGATTCGAGTTGAGATGTGATTTTATGTGAGAGCTTTTTACTGTAGCAAAAAAGTTAGATGTGATTGTTTGTGAGAGCTTTTTACTGTAGTAAAACTCGAATTCTAAACTCGAATCAGCGAAATAAACGGGACCGTAATGTCATCATTTCCGTTAAATACCATCTAAAAATAAGGATAAAATCTTAACCTATTAAAGTCGATTGGGACTAAAAAATCTCCTCATAAAGAAGTAAGAGACCATAATGTCAACTTTTTAAGTTATTATGCCATTATTTTTTGGACGGCATCTGACAAAAAAAACTACATTACACATTTTTAAATAATTTTGGATTCATTTCGTCAAAAAAAAATTTTGAGAACCAAACTGTCACTTTTTAAAAATTTGAGAATCATTTGTACAATTTAACCTTTATGATAAACATGTTTCAAAATTTACTAAAAAGTGAAACATACCTTTTCAATTAGTTTACCAAATGTGAAACATACCTTTTCAATTAGTTTACCAAATTGTCATTAAAAAAAAAATATGTTCAATAACTTTCTGATGGTGAATGGACGAATCTAATTGCTGAAATGGTTTTAGTAAAAAAAAAAAATAATAATAATGTTGGAAATTCTGCGTGGCAACCACAGCTTGAAGTAATAATATCAACTGGACGATCACTAAGCTATATTATATTTACACTATACAAATAGTGACATAGAAGCACATAAGATTCAAAACAAGAAGATATATAGCAGGTGATAGGGAAGCGATAAGAATCAATCTCTATTCTCTCGTCAGTTTTGTTTGGTCCTGATGAGAATTGACTAATAGAGAGAGAGAGGGGGAAAAAAAAAGGGTTCAAAATCTTTTTCTCAATTATTTGTCTAAAAGGGCTTTTGCCTTTTGTATTAGTATTTTTTTTTTAATGGAAGCCTTTTGTATTAGTTTACTTTGCCATAGTTTTGTAACGTCCCAAAAGGAATCCTTTTGGGGTTCGTTCCCCTTCTGACTCTTACTTGCATATATCATGTCGTCACCTGCACTGCAAAAACCTGCATGCAAAAATAAATAAATAAAAAATATAAAAATACTTTTTTTTTTGGGTATAATTTTTAATTATTTTATCTGATTAAAATCATATAAATAAAAAAATACGTTTAATAAATAATTTTTAATATGAATTTAACTATTGAAAATGAAAAAAAATACCAATAAATAATTTCTTTTAATGCTAGGAGAGAAACTCCCATAATACAAACACAACACACAAAACAACAAATTGGCATTGACGGAACACACACGCACATAGACACTACTCACTAGTTACAAGTAAAGCTCACCCACCACGTAAAGCAGAGCCCCCCC